GCCATCTGATGACCTCACCTCTCATTCCAATGAACTGTGCCCCGCACTTCAGCAACTGATTCCTAGGCGGCAACACGGACTTTGGCTTGCAAAGAACTGCGGCCACCTCTGAAATCTTGAGACTACGGCCCTGTTTTCTTCACAACTCCTCTCCCACCAGCTGTCTCCCTTGCTCCCTCCATGGTGGTTCTTTGACTTCATTCAGACCTCTAGCTCATCATTGAGACTCTCTAGGCCAGCACTAGAAATAGAAATATATTGCAAGTTACATATGTAACTTAAAATATTCTAGTATTTTTAAAAAGTTAAAAGAAAGTGGTACAATTCAAGTTCATAATGTTTTATTCAAAAACATGAGTTCAGAATTCCCTGGCGATCCAGTGGTTAGGACTCCGTACTTTCACTGCCAAGGGTGCGGGTTTGATCCTTGGTTGGGGAACTAAGACCCTGCAAGCTGAGCAGCGTGGCCAAAAAAATAAAAAATCAAGTCAGCGGTAATCAATATACAAAATGATTAATGGGATATTTTACTCTTTTTTTTGGTATTTTACTTTTTTCAAATAGATACATGAATGCAATTAAATTTTGAGCATTAATCTTTCATCTAGTAATCTTGCCAAATTCATTCATTAACTCTAAAGTTTGTAGATTATTTTTCACAGATATAATCTTATTTGTGAACAATGACAATATTATTTCTTTCATTCTAATATTTATGCCTTTTATTTCTTTCTCTTGTCTTATTGAGCTGTTAAAATCTCCAATAGAATGCTGAGTAAAATGGGCTGGCAAGAATCCTTGCCCTGTTACCAGCAAGTGGGGAGGGCTCTTCGGCCAGCCATCACCACCTGATTTTATTTGGAATTCTGTGTGTATTTGACATTTACAGCACATTTCTGTTTGCACCAGCAGCCAGTTTTCAAGTGCTCAGTAGCCACATGTGTCTAGTACCTACATAATGGATGGTGCCCTTCTACACTTCACTTCCTTCACAGGGAAGGAAGACACCGAGGTGTGTCACGTCAATCATCCTTATATCAGCACCCTTAACTCCCTTGTCCTAGTGTACTTCTGTTATCTACATAATCCCAATTTTGGATTAATCCAAATTTCTTACTCCTAGAGATGACTACACAATTATGCATTAGAATCGCCTCTGAGCTGCTTGATCACCTTTGCCCACATAAGCTTCTTCTGGTATTCTGAAAACAACAATCAAAACTTCACTACTCAGAATTTTACTGTATAGAACTAATAAATAATATAAAAATCTCGATTTAAAAAAAAACCTTTCTCTTCAAGATTTCCATATGCTATACATGACTTAATTTTCTATTTCATAGAGAAAATTGAGGCTTTCAAGATTCCTTCTCCTTCTTTAATATTATCTACATCCATCCACATCTTTGCTCAGAAGCAAATCTGTCTGTTCCTCATCTAGTCCAAGGCTAATTCTCTTCCTGGGCTCTAAAAGCCATCCTTTCATCTCAGCTAGACCTTCCTGGAGAATTCCCTGGCGGTCCAGTGGTTAGGACTCTGCGCTTTCACTGCAGAGGGCCCAGGTTCAAATCCTGGTCCGGGAAACTAAGATCCTGCAAGCTACAGCCAAAAAATAAAATAAAATAAAAAATAAAAACACATTATTTGGATCAACTAGACCTTCCTGGCCCCCCTCCCGCTAGCACTTTCAGCCTCTCTTTCCTTCCACTGGTTTATTATCCCTCAACATATAGCTACAATTTCCCCATTAATAAAATACTCTCATAAATAATCTTGTGCTTCCCTCTACCCATGGTTATCACCCTTTCTCCTTCTCTTCAAGGCTAAGTATCTTGAAAATATCCTGAACTCCTTGATTCTTCTGACCATCTCACCTCAGCTACTGCAATCTGGTTTCTCCCACATCACATCACTGATATACTTTCTTCAAGGTTACCCATGACCTTCTGTTGCTAAATCCGATAGGCTCTCTTCAGACCTTGTAATTGGGTCAGCTTTTCAGACTGTTTACCACTGCAGTGTCTCTGACATTATTGCAGCGTATGGTTAAGGGTCACACTTTGGAGCCAAACTGCCTGGGTTCTAATTCTACTTCTACCACTTATTAGCTGTGGGACCTAAGGCAAAGAACTTAACTTCTCTGTGCCTCAGGGATAATAGTTGTACCTACCTTTAGGCTTGTTTTGAAGATTAAATGAGTTAATAGCTAACACTTTAGTCCTATTCTATGCACTTTACATGCTAAGCTCACTTAAAAGAGTGCTTAGCCCCTCGTAACTTGTACATGTTATCTATAATAATGGATAGATGTGTCCATCTTTGGGGGACCATTAATCTGCCCTCCACGTTTGTCAGAGTTCACACAATTGGTAAGCTGAGTGCTGTGCCCATGAAACTTATCTACATGGGCTGTTAGCTTAAACTGGTGACAGAACTTACGTTCCGCGAAGGATACTTTCCCTCAATATTATTGGCATTGCTCTGGAGCGACGTGGAACAACACTTTGAAAACGCGCCCTTCGTAGGCCCGGCTACCCCTAGCGCCTCCCGCTCGACCCGGAAGCTTCCTTCGCCGGCAATCCGAGAGACGACCCGCCGGCCCGCCCCCCGGAAACGCGCCCGGCTCAGGACCTCGGGGAAGCAGGTGAGTCAGTCGGCCGGCCGGGCAGGCACCCTCCGCGAGAACGAGGGCGGGGACGGGTGGGCGCTGGGCACTGGGCCGGCGGCGCCCACGCGGGGTGGGGGCGAGCGGGACCAGCGCTCCGGCGCTCGCGGACCCGGGCCTGGGGGTCGCGGGGGTAACGCGGGCAGGGATGCGAGGCGGAGCGGCTTTTCCGGGAGTGAGGATCGGGTCTCCCCCGAGGTGCGGTCACCGCGCTCACCTTCTAAGCTGCATACTACATTTACATTTGCACATCACTTTATTAGCTTTTGATCGGTATAGGCCTGCGAGGCGACGCTTTTGTCATATTCAGAGCATATACAGGTCTTTTAATGAGCTTCGGTGTGTAATGAGTAACAGGGGAAAACGTGGACGGAAAGGACCAAATGTGATTTTCAGCTAAGAAAAGTCAGTGGTTGTTCTTGCTTATCAGTTACTGTCCGCTCACAGAATAAGTACCCGAAGTAAAAAAGAATAAAAATATGGGAAAACTAGGGCTTCTTGTCAAATCGTGTAATGCCAGGGGTCAGTTAGAATAGCGTCAAAGAACTTTTTTCTTTCACGTCATATCCAGGAAGACCTTACTGTCCTTGAAAAGAATTGTTTCTGAAGACCATGCATCTGATTTGGTTACATGGAGAAATTCTAGAGTTTCCTGGTGAGTCTAGGTAAACAGGAGTACAGATGGTCGCTAGAACTGTAGGTTTTGGTTTGTAATTTTTGCTTTACCCGCCATGCTCTCTGGACCTCATAAATCTTTGTGGTGTGATTTTTATGAAAATAAAACACTACAAGTAAGTTTTGTGAAAATCAAGTAAACTCATTCCAGTGTTTTTTCTGTAATGAAAAAAAGAAAGCATCACCTTTCTAAGGTTTAATAATAATAACAGCTGCCATTTATTCAGGGCCCCCTTTACCAGGTAAAGTGTTAGGAACTTTATATTCATTCTTTCCGATGTATTAAGAGATCCAGCGAGCTGCTTCATCCAGGAAATATAAAAGGGAGACTGAAGTTCAAGGACTCTGCTTAACATGTCTTCTTCCTCCCAGGCACCTCCAACTCAGCATGTCCCCAAAGGAGCACATGTCTCCCTTCCCCACGCCTTTCCCCACCCACCCCACTGTCACTGCCAGAAAAATCAAACCAAAAACACCAGGCACACAACCACCATGCCTTTCCTTTTTCTCAGGGAAAGGTATCAGTATTTGCCCAATTTACACCAGAAACCTGAGTCTACCTTGTTCCCTTCTCCCTACTTGTCCCCCATAAATCTGTAACCAAAAATCTTGCCAGTTCTTTCTACATGTTCCTTCCCGTTGTCTTCATCCCCCTTGCCACCCCCCTGTTCCATTGTGTCATCATTTTCCTGCCTTTTCTGTGGTAGGAGTTCTGCTCCGGCCCTCCTCCTCTTTCCCCTGTCTGGTCCATTGCTCTGCAGCCAGCATGAGCAATTTTTCTAAGCTGTAAATTTGCTCTCTTGGTTAAAACCCTTCAGAGACAGCCTGTGAATTACCCCAGGATAAAATCCAGCAACCTGAACTTTGCTTACAGTGACCTTGAGACAAGGTCTGCCTTACTAGCCTTACAGTCCTCTTTCAAGTCCTTGACCTGAAACAATCTCTTTTGCTGTTAACTATGCGATTCCCGCTGCCTCCATCATGTCCCTCCTCTTTGCCTAGATATCTTCCATTTATCCTTCAGGCTTCAGCCTAAATATCATCTTCCTAACTCCCCAGGATACCTCTGCCGAGGGCCAGCATGACTCTCCCTGTAAGACTCGCCACCCTGCATTTGTTGAGGCCTGCGGTCCCATCTGCTTTGGAGTGTGCATGATGGCTGGGGCTGAATGTTGAGAGATTTGTTCAGGATTATAAAACCTGGCACGCATGCCCTGTGTCCACCTGTTGAATGAATAAAGGAATAAGTCATCCTGTCATGGTGATTACAGCTACTTTGAATTAATTCTGCCTTTTGAAAGTAAATTTAATTCTCAGTTGTTTTTTTTTGTGGGTGAATCTTTTTTTTTTTAATTGGGGTATAGTTGCTTTGCAGAGTTGTGTTAGTTTCTGCTGTACAGCAAAGTGAATCAGCTATACGTATACATATATCCCCTCTTTTTTTGGATTTTCTTCCCATTTAAGTCACACAGAGCACTAAGTAGAGTTCCCTGTGCTATACAGCATGTTCTTATTAGTTATTTATTTTATACATAGTAGTGTATGTCAATCCCACCTCCCCCTTACCCCCTTGGTGTCCATATGTTTGTTCTCTATGTCTGTGTCTCTGTTTCTGCGTTGCAGTAATTCTCAGTTGTTTCTGTTTTTGAATCTAGGTTGGGAGAGCCGGTGGTGACTGCGGGAGTGGAGCCCGTGTGCGGTGCCCAGCATGGACAGTTACACGGTCCTGAGAGTGATTGGGGAGGGCTCCTTTGGCAGAGCCCTTTTGGTTCAGCAGGAGAGCAGTAATCAGATGTTTGCCATGAAAGAAATAAGGCTTCCCAAGGTCACTGCTAAAGCAATTAGCTCATGTTGAAAGTGTACATGTAATTTGTATAGGAAAACAAGTTCTTGAAATTTAACGTGGAATTGCTCCTTTGTGCAAAAGATTTAATGGGTTTATTTGTTAGCTTTACAAGGTCTTGCTATATCTTAGGTGGTTCTTAGGATATTGTAATTAACAAAAGTAATCAAGGTTTGGGTGGTGATTGCTGTTTATCTCAATGTGAATAATTTGTAATAATTTCCAATTTTGCATACTTAAGGGTGTAGGGAAGCTGCCCAAATGCAACTCGGGTGCCATATTAATGAAAAAAGGAACATCAACATACAGTGAAGAGCTGAGACCTAAAATGCTGACCTTTGGTATCAGGGAACCTATTCTGTGGATTAGTTTATAGGTTTTATTTCCCTGTAAGATGAGGAAAGTGCTGATTTATCTGTACAGTTGACCCTTGAACAACACAGGTTTGACTGCTGTGGGTCCACGTAGATTTTTTCAATAGTAAATACTACAGTGCCGTGCGATCTGAAGTTGGTTGAATCCGTGGATGCAGAACCGAGGAAATGGAGGGGTTCCTCCATACATGGAGGGCCAGCTATGAGTTGTACTTGGAATTTCAACCCCGTGCAGTCAATGCCTCTAACCTTGTTCAAGGTCAAACTGTATTTGTCACTATGTAACATAGTTGTCAGGTGAAAGAAGCCATACCATGGAGGCTGCCTAATAATGTTTTGATCAACTAAAAAAAAAATACATTTTAATAAAATTCTCAGAGTGAGTATTTTTTTTCCCACTGCAATCTTGACCTCGTTTAGTGGGCATCAGAATCACCTGGAGAGCTTGTTAAACCAGATTGCTGAGCCTTACCCCTGAGTTTCTGGTTGTGTAGTTCCTGGTGAGCCTGCGAATTTGCATTTTTAACAAGTTCCCAGCTGGTGGTGATGCTGCTGGTCTAAGCCCCCTTGGGCTAGTACATAATCAGTTGCAGTTTTTTAATTATAAGATAAGTCATTCAGGATTTTATCCTCATAGAGTAAGTTAGGGGATAAACAGTTTTGGAAACTTATTTTGCATATGGTCTTTGCCCATCCATGCTGCTGTAATACACGAGTATATATATTTTTCATCTGAACCAGTGGGCTGATAAAGTGATGCAGACAGTAAAAACATGAAAGCCCTAGTTTTTCTTTAAGGAGCTACTATTGTTGATGGCATACTGGCTCTCCAAGTCAGGTTATACTTAGGCTGATGTTAAGAGTAGTTTACATTCTATACTTGTAAAGATATAAGAGGTCAGCTTAAGCATGCATATAGCCATAGTTGAAAAATCTGCACATGTTTACTCGTGGAGTTTGATAAACTCAAGTTGGGTCAAAGTACAGTGCTATGAAATTGTGTCTAGCATTGAAATACCTTACAAACTACTATAATATCATTTTACTATCAGTTTTATTATGAAGTATTACATTTACGCTTATTTAAACCTCCTTCTAGTTTTTCTCTGACACACAGAATTCTAGGAAGGAGGCTGTTCTGTTAGCCAAAATGAAACACCCCAATATTGTTGCCTTTAAGGAATCATTTGAAGGTAAATATGAATTTCCCCCAATACCTGCATTTCTGAATTTGACTCATGGCCACTGAGGCTTTGTTTTTGTTTTTTTTAAATTTATTTGGCTGTGTCGGGTCTTAGTTGTGGTTGGCGGGATCTTTGTTAAGCCATGCAGGATCTTTCATTACGGCACGTGGGCTCTTCCTCGCGGTGTGTGGGCTTCTCTCTAGTTGTGGCACGCAGGCTTAGTTGCCCTGCGGCATGTGGGATCTTAGTTCCCCGACCAGGGATCAAACCCCCGTCCCCTGCATTGGAAGGAGGATTCTTAACCACTGGACCACCAGGGAAGCCCCTGGGGCTTTCTTAAAGAGTCTTACATTTGTTTTAGCTGAAGGACATCTGTATATTGTGATGGAGTATTGTGATGGAGGGGACCTGATGCAGAAGGTTAAACATCAGAAAGGGAAGTTGTTTCCTGAAGATACGGTAAGAGACCGACTTACAGAAGTTTCCCTCAAGGTTTGGAAGCAACTTTTCTCATAAAATTTGTATGTGTTAAAATAAAAGCATTGCTGTCTGTGATTACCTGACACACGAGTTAGAAATGACTCATTTCTGTATCCATGATGCTGCTTAGTGAGATGTGGCTGCCTGAGATGTTTTTAGGGAGTAAAATAGATATAAGTTTATAAAATATCAAAGAATAACACTTCCATGTTTAGAAGAATTTCAAAATTGTATTATTTATCATACTTTCTACTAGACATTTAAAATTTTTATTTTTTGCATTGAAATTTTAGAAGGCAGATGGATTTCTTTTGTATTTCTAGATCATCTGAAGAATGAAGCCTGCATTTCTTTTTTCCAGGAGCACCTATTCTTAGTCTTTTTCCTTCTACAGTTTAGCATAATCTCTTAAAATACTTACTGCCTTTTTAATGGAAAGTTGTGTATTAAATATTATTGGAATGAGTTGACTAAGGAAAATACTTCAATAAACAGCTTTACTGGGGCTTAGTTTGATACATGGTATAACGTGTTTTGAGAGTATATTAATATAAATATTTTTCATCTAGAAGTTGTATTGTTAAGAATATGGGTTCCGTTGTAGCATGTCAGCCTGGCTTCAAAGCATTGTTGGTAATATAATGAAATCTTTTAATGTTAACATATGAATATTCTGAAAAAGTGAATGAAAACCTGATGTAATGATTACACTATAAAAAGTTATAGCATATTCATTTCTAAATGGCAAACTACTTTTATATGTATATTTAAAAATATTTTTATTTGGTTAAATACAAGAAAACCATAGTGGGATTTTTATTAAAATAAATTGTTGGGAATTCCCTGGCAGTCTAGTGGTTCGACCTCCGCGCTTTCACTGCCAAGGGCCCGGATTCAATCCCTGGGGGAACTAAGATCCCACAAGCCGCGTGGCATGGCCAAAAAAGTAAATAAATAAATTGCTATTTAGATCATACATAAGACGATGACACATATGGGATTGATTCACAGCTTTTCTGAATTTCTCCAGGCAACACTGAATCTTAGTTGAACTATGTAATTTTCAGGAGTTCTGTACTTATATTATATAAAACTCAGGTCAGCCAGGGCCTGAAGATGATTCTTTGGGATTTGGGGTTGCCATGAACCCGTTATTGCATTCTTGCAGATTTGCATGCTTTTTTCCTTACAGATACTTAATTGGTTTACACAAATGTGCCTTGGAGTAAATCACATTCACAAGAAACGTGTGTTACACAGAGATATCAAGTCCAAGGTAAGTGGAAACACTTTGGTCCTAAAAAAAAAAAAATCGAAAACTATTTCATTCCATGTTTTTTCTGTGTTATTCTCTTTCCTTCTGGGGCATTCTTTATCTAGTTTAGAAATATTTCTCAATGTAATATTGATATTTATGCTAGCCAAATAAGGTACTACTTGAGAACAGGTCAGTAAATCTCTTTAGTAGTGTATGGTAATATGTTCCAGCTCTCTTAGTGACTGTTTCCTAAGACCACATGTTCTCAGATGGAAAATGGTTGAGACCAGGGCCTGCCACCTGGAGTTACCGGGACACAGGTTCTCCGGTCAGTTGAGCAGGGTCTGCCGATACAATCTGAAGCTTGCCTGTTAGATTTCTAATCAGTCATCCTGAATTCCCAAGCAGGGAAGTGCAGCTGTCCAGAGGGTATCTTGTCTTTTTATGTTCCATTCGAGGACTCGGCTGTCAGCATTTCTACCCTTGATCTCCACCATCAGCAGCCTTTGAAAGACAGCTTCTGCCGGCGCTCTCTGCCTTATATTTGTTTGTTTGTTTATTTATTTATTTTTTATACAGCAGGTTCTTATTCGTTATCTGTTTTATACATATCAGTGCATACATGTCAATCCCAATCTCCCAATTCATCCCACCACCTCCCCCACCCCGCCACTTTCCCCTCTTGGTGTCCATACGTTTGTTCTCTACATCTGTGTCTCTGTTTCTGCCCTGCAAACCGGTTCATCTGTACCATTTTTCTAGGTTCCACATATATCTCTGCCTTATATTTGAATGAGGGTAGATGTAATCTGAGCTCTTCTTTTTCAATGCAGAATATCTTCCTCACCCAAAAGGGAGAAGTAAAATTGGGTGATTTTGGATCCGCCCGTCTTCTCTCCAGGTATGTATGTCTCTTCTGTAGTAGGGACAGTAGTCGAAGCATCATCATTGAGAAACGCTCTGTAATCGTTCTGTGCCTCTTTCTGGTTTTAGTCCCATGGCATTTGCTTGTACGTATGTGGGAACACCTTATTATGTGCCCCCAGAAATTTGGGAAAACATGCCTTATAACAATAAAAGGTAAGTGATGTATGTAGTTGGTGCAGGGCTGACAGTTTGGTACAGGCATTGTAGCCTACAGGTGAAGTTTGGTTTTTAAAAATGTATATGTGAAAGCAGTGTAGAATTTAAATTCCTAGGCCTCTAGATGAAAGTCATAATTTTCCCACTGTTTTAATCAGAGCTGAGAGGAGCTACATGTAAATGCTGAAAGAAAGGTTAGTCATTTCTGGGAACAGTATGCATTATATTACTGTTTCTCAAACTTTGCTGCTCCCGACTTAAAAAATCCCAAAGCGCAGGTTGTAGCCATATCGGTTAAATCCAAATGTCTGGGGGTGGGCAGCAGGCATCAGTAATTTTCCAGGATCACTAAGTGAGTCCCATGTGCGGCAAAATTTGGGAACCACTGGATTATGTCATTGAGTTGACATTTACAGGACTAGATAATAAGCACTTGACTGATAGGTTCATTGATTATCAGAAGATAGTATGAAGTCCTTATGATTTAAAGCATAATTTTTTTCTGAATATAAGTAATATGTGCCCATTGATGGAGTGGGTGGGCAGGGGAAGGATTGGAAATGTAGAGATATACAAGAAAGGAAATGGTGATCACCCACTTTTACACAACTACTGACAACATTTTGGGATTTTTCCCCCATCCATTCTCTTTTTCCCCTAAACTTTGTTTATATACTCTATATACAATTTAGTATCCTGCTTTTTTCACTTTATATCATATTCACTTTATCCCATATTAAAACTCTGCATAATTATTGTTAATGGTTGCATAATATTTTAATACATGGGTCTTCCAAAATTTATTTCACATTCCTCTGTTATTGGCCTTATGATATATTTCCAATTTTCAGTATCCTAAACAGTGCTGTGATTAATATGCCTTTTGTGCATAAATATGTCGTTGTTGTCTGTCACATTCTTGGCATGAATTCCTAGAAAGAGAAACACCCACAGGTTCTTGTTACCATCTGCCAAGTTGTTTTCTGAAAAGGATATGATAATCCATAATAAATAGACTCCTTTAAGAGTAAAACTGACTGAATTGGAGACAAAACAGCTATGAAGGGACTTCCTGGGACAACTGGGGAAATCTGAGTTTGGACAAAATATTAGATAATAATATTGAATTAAGGTTAAATTTCTTGGATGTGATAATGGTGTTGTGTTCATGAGGGAGAGTGTCCTTGCTCTTAGGAGATACATGTTGATGTGTTTAGGGGTGAAGTGTTTGATGCCTGCAGCTTTTCTTTCAAGAGGTTCAGATCTAGAAGGAAGAGAGGAAAAGCAGGCAAACGTGGCAAATGCTAATGGCTGAGAAACCTAGGAAGGAGCATGTGGGCATTTACAACTTTCCTGTAGGTTTCAAACTTTAGAAAATTAAAAGTTGGGGGAAATAGTTGATAAAAAAAAACCCTTAGTTAAAATGAAAAGAATATCATCTAGAAAAAGTCTGGGGGATGACAACTAGGTGGTGAGAACTCTGGAGGAAAGTGGAGGTGCTTAGTTTGAAGAAGGGTGGGCGTATAGGGCAAACTATAGAACTCTTTGCTGAGCTTTGAAGAGCTCTTTTGTGGAAGAATAAGAAGGCTGTCCCTTAGAGCCAGCCACTGGGGGCACAGAGAGCTGTCCATCAGGATGTGTGACCAACAGCCAGCTGTGGTGCAGGCAGCCTGGGTGGAAGCTGCACTGGATGACTTCTAAAGCCCTTCTGCCAACTATGATAATCTGAGTCCATGGATATTCCTCTTGCACCAAGTATTGATACTACTGAACTGATACCCGAACAACCCAGATTTGGAGGGGCAGGGGTTGGGGAGCAGTCAGTTTTATTGTGAACATTACTGTTAGTAAGTATCTAAGTGTTAGACCAAAATTGCTGTATATTTTATTTCAGTAGCTAAGAAGTACCTGCAATGTCTGTTCTTATTAAAGGTAGAGTAATTTTTTATTTTTTGTATTACAACATATACACAGTTTCATATGATAACTCATAACCCACTCATCATTACATTGCTTCTTTATGCTTCCAGTGACATCTGGTCCTTGGGATGCATTCTCTATGAACTCTGTACCCTTAAGCATCCAGTAAGTATGGCATGCAAAATGGGAAAGGCAGCCTCTGGTTGTATCAGGCTAAGTCCTAAGTAATGTGCCAGATTTCAGTTGGTGGTTTGCTTCCTTAGGATGAGTTCATTATAAGATTTTCATGTTTCCAGTTGCTGTCATCTTTGCTTTGAGCTACTTTTGTAGTGTATACTAATAGGAAATTTCCATGATTTAGTATTTATAGTACTATATTTAGCTTGCCTCCCTCCTTCCTTCCCTCCCTCCCTGCTTCCCTCCCTCCCTCCCTTTCTATCTTTGTGAATTTGCATATTCTAGTTATTTTGTATAAGTAAAATTATACCATATTTTTCCTTTTGTGTCTGGCTTATTTCACATAGCATAATGTTTTCAACGTTCATCCATGTTGTAGCATATGTCTGAATTTCATTCCTTTTTTATGACTTAATGATATTCCATTCTATGTTTATACCACATTTTGTTTATCCATTCATCTGTTGATGGACATTTGGGTTGTTTCCACCTTTTGGTTATTGTGAATAATGCTGCTGTGAGCGTGGGTGTACAAGTATCTATTAGAATCCCTGTTTTCAATTTTTGGGGTATACACAGAGGAGTGGAATCGCTGGGTCACATGGTAACTGCATGTTTGGCTTTTTGCAGAACTGCCCAACTGTTTTCCAGAGTGGCTGCACCATGTTTGTACTTTCCTTGTTATCAGTTAGATTTCACTTCTTCCAGTTTCTTCTCTAACTGAAATACCATGAGAAAATAGACTTTGCTCTATATTATATATTTTTTAAAGATATTTTAAAAATAATTTAACATAAAAAGAAGTTAACTCACTTGCCCTGCTTGTTTGCAGTTGTTTATTGCACAGAATTAATAAGTAGTGCTGATCCCTATTAAGTGTTAGCTTTGCATAGAAATAAATTCTGTTCTTTGGGCACAGATTTGAACTTGGCTCTAGCAAGCATTTTCACAGAGGCGCTTGAGAACATGTAGAGCTCATGAGAGTAATTAAGAACATCCTTCTTTCCTTCTTCACCACTAGATGAAAGTAACTCAAATGGAAGGTTTGCACTTCTTTTTTTTTAAACATCTTTATTGGAGTATAATTGCTTTACAATGGTGTGTTAGTTTCTGCTTTATAACAAAGTGAGTCAGTTATACATATACCTATGTCCCCATATCTCTTCCCTCTTGTGTCTCCCTCCCTCCCACCCTCCCTATCCCACCCCTCTGGGTGGTCACGAAGCACCGAGCTGATCTCCCTGTGCTATGTGGCTGCTTCCCACTAGCTATCTGCCTTACATTTGGTAGTGTATATATGTCAATGCTACTCTCTCACTTTGTCACAGCTCACCCTTCCCCCTCCCCATATCCTCAAGTCCATTCTCTAGTAGGTCTGTGTCTTTATTCCCATCTTGCCCCTAGGTTCTTCATGACCTTTTTTTTTTTTTTTTAAGATTCCATATATATGTGTTAGCATACGGTATTTGTTTTTCTCTTTCTGACTTACTTCACTCTGTATGACAGACTCTAAGTCCATCCACCTCACTACAAATAACTCAATTTCGTTTCTTTCTATGGCTGAGTAATATTCCATTGTATATATGTGCCACATTTTCTTTATCCATTCATCTGTTGATGGACACTTAGGTTGCTTCCATGTCCTGGCTATTGTAAATAGAGCTGCAGTGAACATTGTGGTACATGACTCTTTTTGAATTACGGTTTTCTCAGGGTATATGCCCAGGAGTGGGATTGCTGGGTCGTATGGTAGTTCTATTTTTAGTTTTTTAAGGAACCTCCATACTGTTCTCCATAGTGGCTGTATCAATTTACATTCCCACCAACAGTGCAAGAAGGTTCCCTTTTCTCCACAAGGTGTGCACTGTTACTGAGAGGTCAGCTTCCTTGTATATAAGTGGCTTATAATACCAGCTGCATAATTAGAACAATGTGAGAAACTTGAAAAATGCTGATGCCTAGGCCCAGGCCAGACTAATTGAATTAAAATCTCGGGTGTCCTGGACATTAGTGTAGTTTGTTTTCACTTTTACATTTAATTTGGGGGCATTAAAAATTTTTTTTCTTTCCAGTTTTACAGAGATATAATTGGCATATAGCAGTGTATACATTTAAGGTGTACAGTGTGATGATTTGACTTAGGTGCACCATGAAATGATTATCATAATAAGTTTAGTGAGCAGCCATCATCTCATATGGATACCTTTTGACCACCTTCATCCAATTCCTCTTTCCCCCACCCCCGGCCTCTGGTAACTACAAATCTGATCTCTTTTTCTATGAGTTTGTTTGTTTTTGAAGTATAATTGACTACAACACTGTGTTAGTTCCTGGGACGTTAGTGGTTTTAAAATAGATGATTGTAATGTGTAGCCCAAGTGGAGAACCACTGTTGTGTACAAATAAAATTATTTATTAAATTTCAGTATCTTAATTAGGATTATATTTTTTATTTCCCTAATTTTGTCCTTTTCATAAACATTCATATACATGTTCTTATTTTTTCTAGCAAGAATAAGTAGTAAAAGTTTATATTTGGCACTGTCTGCTCTGTTGTCTGCTTTAAAAAGGCAAAAGTAGGGCTTCCCTGGTGGCGCAGTGGTTGAGAGTCCGCCTGCCGACGCGGGGGACGCGGGTTCGTGCCCCGGTCCGGGAAGATCCCACATGCCGCAGAGTGGCTGGGCCCGTGAGCCATGGCCGCTGAGCCTGCGCGTCCAGAACCTGTGCTCCACAAGGCGAGAGGCCACAACAGTGAGAGGCCCGTGTACTGCAAAAAATAATAATAATAATAAAAAGGCAAAAGTAGTTCTCAAACCTTTAGGAAACGCTGAAATTCAATATAATGGTTAGAAAGCCTGAGGCATTTGGGAATAAGATTATTACCCCTAACTGCAGATGGAGACACTTTGAGAAGTCAAGAAGTGTGCCCCAATTCAGACAGCTGGTAGATATATGGCAAACATGTCTCACTTCAGTGTAAATTTTAACTATAGTCTGCTTCTCTAGAACTGTGTATATTTGTGTGTTTATAATCAAAGCAACCTTTTAACTTTTTCAAAAAAATAATATTGCAAGTTGTTTTAAGGGAGTATCAAATAAACAACATTTTCAGTTCAGACATATGGATAAAAATTTAGGTCTGTTGTCCACCGCATTAGCTTGCATCACCCCTTTAGCTTCATATTTTCAAGTGTACATACATGATCTTCGGTTTGTGTTGTTTTTAGCAAACAGTAATTAATAGTAAATGAGTAATTGTTTTAAAAATGGCTCAAGTTGAAAAAAATTCTTTGCTTAGCCAAATTTTCATCTGGCTTCTGAATCTTCTCCTAGACCCATGTGTGCATTCCCTTGCAAAGTCCAGTTTTATCAAGAACCCTGGTAAGTTGAGCAAGAACCCTCCACCCTCAGTGTCCAATTGCCCTTGATATCTGGTCAGGTTCCTCATCCTCCGCAGTTCCCCAGCTGACGTCTGACCCCTCTGGTCTGCCTTCAGCAAGAATCCTGTTAGATTGGTTTAGCCAGAGTCCCCCCCTTTTTGTGTGTGTGTGTGTGTGTGTGGAGTGCTATTCTTTTTTTTTTTTTTTTTTACATCTTTGTTGGAGTGTAGTTGCTTTGCAATGGTGTGTTAGTTTCTGCCAGAGTCCCCCTTTTGCCTGGATGTTTCCTGTTAGTAATTTTCCATCCGGTGGTATCTACCCTGTTCATTAGATATAAATTCCCACTTGCCCATGCTGTGTTTGCCTTTAAGCCCAATCCCTCTAACCCTCTGCAAAATTCTATCGCAGTGGAGCCTATATCTGTTACAATGGTCCTGAATAAAATCTGCCTTATCATTTTTAACAAATGTCATGGATAATTTTTCCGTAACAATATATTAACATAGCTTCACTGTTGTTTGATTATCAAACCTCTTAATGTAAATTTAAATTCTGGTTGTTATAGGGGAAGTTTCATAATCCTATTGATTATATCAATAAACTACACCTGGTATAAGTAAAAAAAAAAAGCCTGAGGCAAAGCAGATTCAGTCTTATTTTTCATTACCTGAATTTTTCCTTTGTTATATGTTTTTTTCCTTTATTACATGTTGACTTTTCCTTTTTCATATCTTCACTTGTATGTATTAATAGGGTAATGTACCTCCAAGGCAGAATGCCATCATGTTCTTATATTAAGTATTACTGAGGCTTGCACCTAATGTTAATTGCAGTGTATTTATTTTTTTATTTTTTATAAATTTATTTATTTTTGGCTGCATTGGGTCCTCATTGCTACGTGCGGGCTTTCTCTAGTTGCGGCGAGCAGGGGCTACTCTTCACTGCGGTGCGTGGGCTTCTCATTGTGGTGGCTTCTCCTGTTGCAGAGCACAGGCTCTAGGCATGCGGGCTTCCGTAGTTGTGGCTTGTGGGCTCTAGAGCACAGGCTCAGTAGTTGTGGCGCACTGGCCTAGTTGCTCCGCGGCATGTGGGATCTTCCAGGACCAGGGCTCGAACCCGTGTCCCCTGCATTGGCAGGTGGATTCTCAACCACTATGCCACCAGGGAAGCCCCCGCAGTATGTTTATTATACAATGAAAACTTTAAATGTTATTCTGGTATGACATTTTATATCCCACTCTATTACTTGTCAAACGGTGATAACTACTTTGATGACATGGAAGGTAAAAAGGATTTTGCAGCAGGAGTTTAAAATAGGAAAAGTCTAAAGTGCATTTTGTCAGGGAGCAGGCCTGGGGATTTTAAATTTTTTTTTTATTTTTTAAATTTTATTTATTTTTGGCTGTGTTGGGTCTTCGTTTCTGTGCGTGGGCTTTCTCTAGTTGCGATGAGCGGGGGCCACTCTTCATCGCGGTGCATGGGCTTCTCACTGTCGCGGCCTCTCTTGTTGTGGAGCACAAGCTCCAGACGCGCAGGCTCAGTAGTTGTGGCTCACGGGCCTAGTTGCTCCGCGGCATGTGGGATCTTCCCAGACCAGGGCTCGAACCCGTGTCCCCTGCATTGGCAGGCAGACTCTCAACCACTGCGCCACCAGGGAAGCCCAGGCCTGGGGATTTTTGAGGAGGAGAGAAGCAAAGAAACATTACACTTATTATAAGCCTTAATATCATCTGACTTTTTAAAAAGCCATATGTATGTATTACTTTGATTTTTAAAATATATTAAAAATGTGTATCTGTGAAAACGTTGATTTGAGTAATAAAGTACCCAAAACAGGCACTGATGGTAAGACTTCCTCCAGATGGGAACATCTTTTACTATTTATGTTTACCTTTCTCCTGAACAACCATAAGATTTTTAGAATAGTACCGGTTGGGAGGTGGGGTGGGAGTTTGGGACTAGCAGATGCAAACTGTTTGGATAAACAATAAGGTCCTACCGTAGAGCACAGGGAACTATGTTCAATATCCTGTGATTAAACCATAATGGAAAAGAATATGAAAAAGAACGTATATAGATGTATAACTGAATCACTTTGCTGTACAGCAGAAATTAACACAGTGTAAATCAACTGTACTTCAATAAAATAATTTTTTTGAAATACAAAGAAAAAAAGTATGATTAGTAAAAAAAAAAGATTAGAGAACAGCACCTTAAAAACACCTCTAGGGAGAAGAATTTCTAAAATTAAAATAATTCATATAAATTCAGTTCAGCTGGTATTTACTTATTTCTGTTCTCTTTCCTTGTATCTGCTTTTACAGTTCAGTTTTGCTTTTCAGTTTCAGGCAAATAGTTGGAAAAGTCTTATCCTCAAAATTTGTCAGGGGTCCATGAGCCCCCTGCCATCCCATTATTCCTATGAGCTTCAGCATCTGATCAAGCAGATGTTTAAAAAGAATCCCTCACATCGCCCTTCAGCCACAACTCTTCTCTCCAGAGGCTCTTTAGCTCGGCTCATCCAGAAGTGCCTACCCCCAGAGGTATGGTACATGTGAGATTGACTGTGAACAGTTTTCCCAGTGTTTGTTATCTTCTAAACACAATTACATGTTATACATGCCTGTAAAAATTCAAATAATGCAGACGTATATTAAAAAAGTAAAAAGTTGAAATGTCCTTTCCTTCCTCTTCTTTCCACGATGCTATTCCCCAAATATAATCATGGATATTGTTTGCATTATCCTTCCAGATCTTTTTGGACGTATATAAATGTCTGTTTAAATTACGTGGATCTTTTATTTATTTATTATTTATTATTTATTTATTCTTCTGGCTGTGCCTTGCGGCATGTGGGATCTTAGTTCCCTGACCAGGGATCGAACCCTTGCCCCCTGCAGTGGAAGCACGGAGTCTTAACCACTGGACCACCAGGGAAATCCCTACATGGATCTTTTAAATGGCATTTCTACTTTTCAACTTTATTGCTGTGGGGAAGAACCTTGATAATTAAATGATGTTATGGCAGTATCTAAAGAAAAGCATCTTTCACATCTTTAAATTCTCTGCTTTAAACTTTCAGATCATCACAGAATATGGTGAACAGGTATTAGAAGAAACCAAAAAATCTATGCCTAGTACACCAAGAAAAAAGGGTAAGAATTTTGAAAAGCTTATTTTTTGTGTTCTTTTAAAATACAGTATAACAAAAAGGAAAAATACAATTTTCAAGTTATTAGAGATGATTTCCAGATACTCCTCAAATCAAAATTTGCTTCTTATTCCTTCAGGCATAATTCTATACCGAATCTTATACATTTAGTTTTCCAGGGATCAAAAAGAACATAGTTTGGAGATTTTAGAGATGTAAAAATTTTTTCTGTTTCATTTTTAGAACCATATTTACTCTAGTTTGTTATGGATCAGGTAGAAGGAGTCTGTGGTCTTACCTAGGAATCTAACCATGAAAATATAATATAGGAAATTGTATCCCTAAGGACCATCTTATAAACAAAATTTTTAAAATGGAGTCTTTTTAAAAGTTGGAACTGTCCACATAATAGGTGCACAAAATTTCCATACATCTATAGTCAATCCTGAGCAAATTTCAAATGTAATTTATTGTCTCTTTGGAAGTTGTCATCTCAATTTTTTCAAAGCTCTTTTTGTTGCTTTTCATTTGTCATCAATGACACATCTTTCATCTGAAGAAATCCAACAATGACCAGGATAAGAGAGAAGAATTAAGACGTGTAGGTCATCCACTGTAGGGAGATGTTGTAAAACCTCCGTTATTTAGTGCCTGTTATCTTAGTGTTATATACTACAAAAGAAATATTTCTATTTTTTTAAATTTCTTTTTTATTGAAGTATAGTTGATTTACAATGTCATGTTAGTTTCAAAAGAAACATTTCTAAACTATACTGTTTTCTTGAAGTTAAATTTTAAATGTTACTTTTGTAAGAATGTAAACCCTTTTAGTGGTATAAACCCTTCAGTCTTACAATTCAGCATTTTTTTCCGTTACTTAAGAGGTAGTCAGTTACCTTTGCTTCAGCAGTTTTAGTGTTGATTTTATTTTATGTACTGTTTCGTAGCTTCTGTTCACATCCCAGGATAGTGGGAAATTCAATTTAAAATGCTGAGCAGCAACAACAAAAGCAGTCTAAGAACAGTTTCAAGACAGTGTAGTTTCAAGATAGGAAAGTGTAGTTTTACAATTTCTAAAAAAAAGAGGAGTAAGCCAGTGCGGAGGAGCCACCATACGGGGAGCACGTGTCTGGTGGTGCTGTAGCTAGTGAGACCAGAACAATGAAAGCTGTGTGAGGGCAGGGACCGTGTCTCATTTGCTCACTGTTGTATCCTCAGTGCCGTCATCATAGATGCTCAGTAGCAATTGTTTAAAATGCTGAATGAATGAGGAACACGGACCCCAGGCTCTGGCAGCGGAAAATCAGGCAGGAGCCATCCTGCCTCCGTGACTGCTGCTGGGCCCTCATCAGGGAATAAGTAGCTGATTTCTTGAGAGGGATACCTATTCCACCTACTGTAATAGCTGTCAGGAAAAGCATACTGGGTAGCAAGCTTATGCTAAAGGTGATAATGACCTTCCGAGTATACAGAGTGTCTTACCTCCTGGTGCCTAAATGGGTTGGCATAAGTGAATAGAGATGTCTTAACTTGCAGACGTTAACATTAGAATAAAACAGCAGAAATAATCTCTTTAACAGCTGAGGTGTATTATTAGGCAATTAAAGCTTGATATCACTGTATGGGCTAGTGCTTTGGTTCTTTGACTTTAAAAACTTCATTTGTCTTTGTCACTCAAGCTTTGTGCAAATCATATTAGAAGCCTTTATGTGTTTTCTCTCTACCTTCTCTTTTCTCTTTGAGCAGACCCCAGCAGAATCAGGATAGCTTTGGAAAATGAAGCAAGCACAGTGGTAAGTGCTTTAAAGTTAAATGTCTAAAATTGTCCACTGGGTACCTGGCATCTTTAGGTGCTGAGAGATATTTGGAAGACTGTTGCCTGGTCCCTGGGTTCAGGAGTTTTTCATCTTTGGGCCTGTGAAGTAACTGGCGGCTGTTCTTTGTACTGCCAGCCGAGCCACTTTAGATCAGCATTTATTTGTTTTTTCATTTCTAATTATGGATGACAAGTGGTTTCAATATAGATGTGAGTGAACTTAGCCCTGCTTATAGGCATGAAAGTCTTGTTTTAGCCTGGCTCTTGGTTGGTTTTGTGTGTGTGGTACAATATATATATATATATAAAACATACAATTTATCACTTCAGCAATTTTTAAGCTGAATTGTAAGAATTTAATGGCATTAATTACATTCACAATGTAATTTTTCATCACCCCAAACAGAAACCCTTAAACAATAACTACCCATTCCTCCCCACCCTCCCTTCCACCTCAGCCCCTGGTAACCTCTATTCTGCTTTCTGTCTCTATGAATTTGCCTATTCTAGATATTTCAAGTAAGTGGAATCACACAATATTTGTCCCTTTGTGTCTGGCTTCTTCTGCTTAGCTTAATATTTTCAAGGTTCATCCATGGTATAGCCTGTATCAGAATTTCCTTCCTTTTTATGGCTAAATAACATGTAGATAACTATGTTGATCTTGACATTTTTCTGTTCAGAAACTTATAGTGCCTCCCTATTAAGCCCATGAATTGAGTGGACATTTTTCAGCCTGGAATTCAAGGTCCTGTCTGTCTCATTTGGCTCCAGGCAGCTGTGCCCTTTTACATGATAGCGACAGTTAAGTCATAAATAGTAACAGCAAATCCACTTCCCAGTTTTGCCACACCCAACCCAGTAACTGGTGTCCTATTGATAATTTTTTTCTTTCTTCATCATTTTAATCAACCTTTTAACTCCCAAAGGAAAAGATGTAGTAACAACAAATGATTCTGTTTATGGAATGTACTAGTAATTAAACTTGTAAATTTTTTGAATGAACCTTAGGTTGTAAATAAATAACACCATTCCCCATTATGTTACTACAAATGGAATATATTCTGCCCCTGTACTTTTTTCTTTGCATAGTAATATCTGTTAGTAATATCTGTTTATTTCCAGCTTTATTGAGGCCTAATTTATATGTAGTAAGATTTACTCATTTTTAGCATGCAGTTTGATGAATTTTGGTGATTTTATAGAGTCATATATCCAGCACCACAGTCAAGACATAGAAATCCCATCCCCCCAGTTGAAAATGCATTTAATGCACCTAACCTACCAAACATCCTAGCTTAGCCCAGACCACCTTACATGTGCTCAGAACATTTCCATTAGCCTCCAGTTGGGCAAAATCATCTAACACAGAGCTTATTTTATAATAAAGTGTTGAATATCTCATATAGTGTATTCAGTACTGAATTCAAAGTGAAAATCAGTGGTTGCCTGCGTACAGAATAGTTGTAAGTGTATCGGCTGTTTACTCTTGTGATCACGTGGCTAAGTGGGAGCTTTGGCTCTCTGCCACTACACAGCATCACAAGAGGGTATCATACGGCATATCACTAGCCTGGGAAAAAGAGCAACATTCAAAATTTGAAATACAGTTTCTGCTGAATGTGTATCACTTTCACACCATCATTAAGTCGAAAAATCATAAGTCGAACCATCGTAATTCGAGGACCGCCTGTATGGTAACTTTATAAAATATTTCATTTTGATATTTCCAGCATGAAGAGCCCAGAAATTTTTCATTGCTCACTTCCTCTATAAAGACCTCTCAAATATCTCTGTCATTTTTATATATCCTTTTCACATTTGCAGTGACTGATATTAATGGCTATTAAGGTATATGACTATTAATATACATATATTTATACATATGTCTGTTCATATATATGGTTTTTAATATACACATATATATGATTATATGACTTAATTTACATGGATGGGGTTCTGTGGTTATTGATGTTTAATCCATCTATATTTAAAGTTAAAATAGCTGTCTTTGCCTACTTGTTTACCTTTTTTTGCAGCAATTCAAGCATTACTTAATCTTTATTTTTAATTTCTTTTAAAGCAAAGGGAAGAACCAGGTGGAAAGTGTAGCCACACTGACTTAGAAAGCATTAATAAAAATTCAGTTGAAAGTGCACTGAGGAGAGTAAACAGAGAAGAGATAAGTAAGTTATTCAAATTCTAATCATTGTATAAGTGGAGAACTGGGGAATATACAAGGAATACCAGTTTCCACCTTACTAGGTCGTAGGCTTCATAAGCAAGTAGATAGGCAGATTTGTGTTTGTTTATCCAGTAGTGTTACAGGAATAATTTATTTACCTATAAAAAAAGAGAAAATCATGTTTATTAATAAGAGGCTTCAGAAAAAATAGTATTTGTTGTGCTCTCTACCATAAACAGCCTGGCACACAGTGTCTACCTAAGTCCTCTTGGGCCTTTAATTCTTGTACATTGTGTAATGTGTGAGTATATACATAGCATTTTAAAAAAAATTTTATTTATTTATTTTTGGCTACGTTGGGTCTTGGTTGCTGCACGCGGGCTTTCTCTAGTTGTGGCAAGCGGGGGCCACTCTTCATTGTGGTGTGCGGGCTTCTCATTGTTGTGGCCTCTCCTGTTGCAGAGCACAGGCTCTAGGCACGCGGGCTCAGTAGTTGTGGCTCGTGTGCTCTAGAGCGCAGGCTCAGTAGCTGTGGCTCACGGGCCTAGCCGCTCCGTGGCGTGTTGGATCTTCCTGGACCAGGGCTCGAACCCATGTCCCCTGCACTGGCAGGCGGATTCCTAACCATGGAGCCACCAGGGAAGCCCCTATACGTAGCATTTTTTTAAATTCACTTTAATGATTAGCTTTACCTTTTCATCTGGATTTCTTTTTCATTCCCTTTACTACTTAGACTTGAAAGAGTGTTGTTAGATCTGAGTTTGAAAGAGAAAGGAAATACTTTTCTTTTAGAGAGATACTTGTGTGCATATAGATGAATAAATAAAATAATAAGCTCAGCAGTTCTTCTTTACACTTTAAAAGCCAGTTCACCAGGTCCTCTCAGGCGACAGTGGGAGAAAAATGTATCCAGTACAGCTCTTACAGCTTTGGAAGATGCATCCTTACTCACCTCCAGTTTAACGGCAGAGGACGTTAGAGGTTAGTAGATTGAATTCTATTATTTTATTATGGAACGTTGTCTAATAGGTGTTTAATGAGCCAGAGTTTTTTCTTTTTTTTAATGTCGCTCTGTGAAGGATATTTGGTTATCACACATCAGAGCGCTGCTCATACAGGCAAGTGAAATAGATCTGGGTAGAGAGTTAAATATAATTAGCTTTGCTTGAAATATGATCTGAAGATATATGCTGAAAATCTTTTTTATTTGGGACTAATTTTTTATCTTTTCCCAACTAGGTGGTTCTGTAATAAAGTACAGTGAAAATAATACCCGTAAGCAGTGGCTCAAAGAAACTCCTGAGACCTTGTTGAACATTCTTAAGCATGCTGACCTCAGCTTGGCATTTCAAACATACACAATATATAGACCAGGTGATTCATGTCTGTTACATAACTGTGGAAACCCTTTGATTGTTTTGAAAAAATTGTGGTAAAATATACATAAAATAAAACTTATCATTTTAACCGTTTTTAAGTATACAGTTCAGGAGCATTAAGTACATTCACATTGTATAGTCATTACCACACTCCATCTTCCAAAATGGAAACTGTATCCATTAGATAATAACTCCCTGTTCCCTCCTCCCAGAAAGCCTTTGATCTTAAAGTTATGAAATATTTAATAGCATTGTAGTTTTAGGTTTTCTTGAATCTTTTCTAGCCAGTCTGAAGCCGTAATTAAAATTTCCCATAGAGCTTCATTCCTTCTGTTTGCCCATTTGTTTGCTTATTTTTTAATAATCACGCGATCACTTTGAAGTGTGGCCCATTTTTACCGTGCAAATACACCCCTGCTTTAGGGACTTTGTAGCTCAGACTTTATCCTAGTAAACGCTGAGGAACTTCAAGGTTTCTTTGGCTCTGTACTTGGATTCTGTTATATTGAGTAGAACACACAAAAAAAGATGAACAATTAGGATTTGACTTTTTTTATCATTTCTACAGACATTTTCACTAAAATTATACAACATAAATTTTTAAGATACTATCCTTAGGAATCTGGGCCAAAGGACTGAAATAAGGGTGTGTATGTGTGAGTGCACGTGTGTTTAATTTTGATAATTCAATTACTAAAGCCGTCTTGCTTGGTTTAAGATCTAAGATAAATTATGCCAAGGAGAGATAAATTATGCCATGGTGTGGCAAGCCTTGACTGTGTGTATTGTAGCAGATTTAGTGTATTTGTTGATTTGATCGGTATTTATTGAGTGCCTAACATGTACTAGGTTAAGATTTTAAAAAAAGAATAAAACATAATTCCTTCCTTGAAAGAGTTGGTTATTTGGGAGACCAACACACAAGCAGAGCATTGTAGAGCTATGTACCACGTGTCTGATAGAGCTGTGTGCAGACAGTTATGTGTCCTTAGGAGAGGTGGGTGCATTGGGAGGCAGGTGTTAAGGAAGGTTAATGATTATGACTTTTGTTTTAGCAATTATAGATCCTGGATTTTGTTTCTGGTCCATTGATGAAGATGTTGTCATTTCAGGAAAGTCACTATTTTAAAAATATATCATAAAATATATATATATATATATCATAGCTCTATTGTGAAAGGATTTTTATAAAGATTGAACCCACATTTTCATGTTAGGTTATCGTTTTGTAAGCAAAAATCTGAAAGCAGTTACTATCTGGAAAAAAATTTAAAAGCATGCATTTAGTCTTAATTCCCTAATTTTATTCCCCTCCATTGGGAAAACTTAGGGGGAGGGGAGAGCTCAAAGGAGAAAAAATGAACTGTTACCTAGCTGTCCAAAGACAACTTTTAATGCTTTAATATGGGTTCATATATTTGAGGGTTTTAATTATAATTTTCTGAGTTTTGAAGAAAGTGCTGTTTAGAAATTTAATACCCATACTGGTGCTTACTGGGCCTGTTTTATGCCAGAATCATGCTGAGTAATGCAGGGAGACACTACAGAAAAATACAGAGCATGGCATTGCCCTCAATTAGCACACAAGCCTTTGGAGGAATTTAGTGCAACATGAACGAAATAAGTAAAAACTGCTTAACTTGGCATAATTTCTGTTAACATTCCTCTGAAGGTGCAGAAGGGTTCTTGAAAGGCCCCCTGTATGAGGAAACAGAAGCATCAGATGATGTTGATGGAAGTCATGATTCTGTCATTTTGGATCCAGAGAGACTTGAACCTGGACTGGATGAGGAGGATACGTAAGTGGTATACCCAGATAGCGTGTGCGTGCATGTCATTTAAATTGTACTTTAGGGCTTCCCTGGTGGCGCAGTGGTTGAGAGTCCGCCTGCCGATGCAGGGGATGCGGGTTCGTGCCCCGGTCCGGGAAGATCCCACATGCCGCGGAGCGGCTGGGCCCGTGAGCCATGGCCACTGAGCCTGCGTGTCCGGAGCCTGTGCCCCGCAACGGGAGAGGCCACAACAGTGAGAGGCCCGTGTACCGCAAAAAAAAAAAAAAAAAATTGTACTTTAATCATTTCTGGTTTAGCAGGAGCTGGCTATATTACTTTACATCATTAATGAATACTTATATCTTGATCTTTTGTCTGGCATGGGTAATGTGTTATGGTATTATCACAGAATTCCTGACTGAGCCATGTGTTTATAATCATTTAGCTTGGACTTATTTTTTAATATACCAGATTTTTATATTGAAAAAGTTGTAGAAACAGTGAAAGAAGTGATCCTTTGGAAGGCTAACCATTTTTTTCCCTCTGTTCAGTTGCCTTACGGAGCTCAGTTTTCAAAAATGTCGGTATTGTTACGGTGATGTACTGCTTTGAACCCATCGACAGATATTAACTGTACTCCTTAAACGGAGGCTTAATATCCAGATTGTTTTCTCACAGGGACTTTGAGGAAGATGACAGCTCTGACTGGGTATCAGAACTGAGACAGCGAGCTGGCTGGCAAGGAGTGTCTGATGGATAACACCCAAGGAAATGTTCCTTAGTCACACTGAGGAGACGTTGAACATGAGGAATTGATATTTGGATAATACTGAACTCACAGGATGTGTATTTTCCTTTAGAAACAGAGTGAAGAGAGGGAAACTGAATATTTAAAATTATTCCTGGTTAGTATAAGGTATAAAAAATCTAGAACTCTTAGGAGTTTTTGAATTCAAAGGAGAAGGCATAGCAGAATGGGTATGAGGTTTGGGCTTTGCGGTCAGAACGGAAATTGAATGCTACCACCTACTGCTTGTGTGACTGTGAGAAATTAACCTCTTTGAGCCCGAATTTCCTCAACTACAAAATGAGGATAACAATGCTTACCTCATAGGGATGCTGACCTTAGACCATCACGGCAGCCCTTAATGTTATTATTTCCATTGTTATGATTTATGCTTGTTTCTATGTAGCTCTTTTTATATCTCCTAAAGGTTTGAGGATCTAAATATATTTAACTATAACATAATAATGTGTGTGATTTTTCAGTAAGGCCTATTTCTGGGTAGTGATCAATCATCTTCAGTGATCACCAACTACCAGCTGTCCTTAAATACAGCCCCTCACAGGATGCACAAAAGAGCCCAGGTCGGAGGATCAGCCATGGGAGGAGTGGGGTGGGCTACAGAACTGGTCAGAAGTTGGTGGTCCTGTATATGAGAAAGGAATGGGGCCAAAGGTGAGAAGTCCATACAGCAAGTAGCAGAAACCAGTGTTGTGGAACTAATGGCGGGCAGGACCCCAACACGTCTGGGTCACCATGACACACGTGTGCCGAAGCCTGTCATTTCATGCTGTGATGCTTCAGTGAAGGGAGACTATTTTACTAAAGAAACTGGCTCTTCGCAGGGGATCCCACAGGGGCAAGCGTGGGAACAGCATAAGCCTGGCCTGGTATAGGGAACGATGCTCGAATAAACAAAAGTGGGAAATAGTTGTGAGACTACAGTAGGATCATTAATAAAGGTCTGCTGAAATGTGGACTACTTATGTCTTTCAAAGAGTTAAACATTTTTAAAAAATCTTAACATACAAAAACTGTGTCATAGCTTTCACCACCCCCGCTCCCATCCCCCATTATTTATACTCAAAACATTTGGTCATCCTTAGTCTCCTCTGGTCTCTGAGTCTCTCCATCTCCCCTTATTTTTCAGAACCCTGACATTTTTGAGGCGTACTGGTTAGCTGTTTGGTAAAATATCCCTCAATTTGGGATTGTCTGACGTTTTTCTCATGATGGGACTGAGCGTGAGTGTTTGAACACCACAGACGTGAAGTGCCCTTCCCAATACATCCGGTCAGGGGTGTGCCATCTCCTCACGACATTACTGCTGTTGTTAACCTTGATCTCTTGGCTAAGGCAGTGTCTGCCGGGGTTTCTGCTATAAGTTCCTAATTTTACGTTTCCAGGTTCTAGTCACTCTGAGACACTAAATCCAGCCTATTCTCAAGTGGAGAGGATATTGCCAGGTACTCGGCTTCCATAAATACTGTATTTGATACCTCTTAGACATCTCAAATCTTAGCACTGCCCCATGGTGGAAACATTTCCAAACCAACCAACACAGGGAACTTGAAACTATGTATAGTTACTGAGAGATTGAATGAATCTTGATGGGATGACAAATCCTTTTGAAAGTCAGATGGTTTGCAGGGTTTTGCTTATAACAGAATTTCAAGAGATTCTAATGGATGATTAGAAACCAATTTTAGTGATAGATTACTGTGTAATTCTTGACATACAACTAGGCAAGAATTGAGGGTCACTTTTAACAAAACTTCCAGTTCCATTTACTTACACGAATAAGGTTTTTCAGCACTTACAGCTTTAAAAAAAAAGAGATTAAAAAAAGAGGTTTGATGAAATAAAATTATTTTTAAGACGGGACAAGAATCTTTTTTAAACAAAATTTTCTCTCTGTCGGTTTCTACCACTACTACCCCTTTTTAGTGTGCATTGTGCATGTGCATTATACATTAGCTAGATCCCCTTAGAAGACACAGAAATGCCTGCTCACCAAAAAACACAAAAAAAACAAGCCCCCCCCCCCCAAACAGCAATTTTCTCTTGGTGTCAGCAAGGTAACTCCTCAGGGGATAACGTTTCTTTCTTAATCCTGTAAGGGGTCACGATGACCCACTACTCACCTTGCTGGACTGTGTAGACTGTCAGTATGTTACTTTGATGTACAATATAACCTTTTGTCTTGAAAACTTATGTAATTGTGCTTTGGGCGGAACAATCCTCAGAGCTTTCTGAAAGACTGTCCCCTGGGTTATAATCCTCAGGTTGGCGCAAATAAAATTCTCCATTTCTTTCTTAGATTGACTATTGATTAATTTTTCATGGACAGACTCAATGTTGAACTTTGTCTATTCCAGTAAAAAGCGTTATCTGTGGATACTAATTGAGCTAATTGGGGAGAAGAAGAGGAAAGCCCATTCACGTCTTTAAGAGAGAAATTTCCAATACTATGTTACTTTTTATATTTAATAAATATTAGTTCGTGATTTGGATCAGTTGTGTACTACTAGTAATTTTAATGAATTTTTAAAAGCCTATTAGAAAATAGAAATTAATTTCCATTGATATGATAGGGTGATGGGTAAGATTTTGAATCATGAAAAACAGTACGTGTGGGAGATATGAGTTCAAGGAGAGAAAGGAGTGGTGTAAACTTTCTAATTCTTAAAGGAGAGCTTTCTTTTTTTAAAAACTAGATATGGTGGGTTTCAAATTGCCGTGGTATTTAGATTCCATTGGTTATGTTTTACTTGTGTCAATATTTATAATTGCTGGAAATTACATCCTTTCAACTGCTTAAACATGTAATGAAACGTTTCTGACGGCACCTTGATGTGCAGTGGGAATGAGGAATGCGTAGGGGGCGATGGGGAGATGGTGAGAGAGCATGTTTGCAGACCACTGGGCAGTAGCTCGTTTTATAAGGACCCCATGGGAGGCCGCCAGCTGTGGCCAAAAGAACAGGGCTCCGTTCCAGTCTCCATCTCTTGACAGTATTTGAGACCTTACACGAGAAACTCTCAGTCCAGCTCAACTGTAAAACTGGGCCACTACTACCCGACTCGGTTGTCGCAAGGCATAAAGAGAATATATGCAAAGCCTCTGGTACACCGTAAGCAAGAACGGGGAGCGGGAGCGGAATGCCTGTCGAGTGTAAGCAGAGGAGTCCCGACCTAAGGTGACGGAGGTGACGCGGCCAGGTCTCCAAACGCCGCGGCCGGCCCCCACCTCTCTTCCGGGTGGACTGTGTGGACCCGTCCTCTCGCCGCTCTGGCCCCGCGCCCCGCCCGCCTTCCCTAGCGCGGCTCCGCCCCGGCCGCCAGCGGGGGCAGAAGCGTCTGGAACCCGGACCCAGCCGGGACACTACTCTGGCCCCGCGGAGCAGGCGGAGCAGGTATGCTATGGGTGGTCCCCTCAGTCCGAACCCGGAGCTGCCCCCAGGGCCTCCGGGAGCCCCGGGGAAAGGGTGGAACCCCCGCCCGGGAAGACACGAGCCGCAGAACTGCGGTCTCCGGTCCCGGGCCGCGTCGGTCTCCGTGGCAACGCGCGGCGCACCCAGCTCCTGACCCCCGCGGGAGTTCTGCCGCCTTCCCGCCGGCCGCCTCCCGCCTCCCGGAGAGAGTTTCTAAGGGAGAAGGATTTTTTCCCCGGAACTTAGGGGCTTCCACCCACCGGTGCCTCTTGGGCGGGAGGGTCGCGGTCCCTCAGTTCCTGTGCAGATGCCCTCGAGTTCCGATTCCGCCAGCGCCTCCCTCAAAACCCGGCCCTCCAGTGTCCCCAAGCCTTCCCTGGCTGCGGAGCTGGCTTCCAGCCCCATCCCACCTAATCGTCCCCCCTTCCTGCACTGACACAAATTACTCAAAAACGTAACCTGCCTGGTCACTCAGGTTTTAAAAATCAGCAAGATTCCCTAACTGTAGTATTGAATATAACGGGGAAATGCAGTGGAGCAGTTTACCCAAAGCCCCAGAGGCTGGCGGCTGGCCGAGGGCCGCCCGGCCGCGTAGCTTCCAGAGAGGTGGCAAGTGGTCGGAGGCAAGTGCTGGGCCGCCAGAACCTGCCCAAGACAGTTCAGAAACAACCCCACTGGGAATTACTGGCCCGTTTTTTGCCCACGGGCTATTGAGGGTGTACTTGTGTTACAAGCACCGTGTTTCCAAAGAAATGGTAGTGAGGAAGGGACCACACCGCTTACTACCCCCGGAGAATTCACCTTCCCCTCTCGAGAAGCCAGGACCCTGGGCTGAGAGTGACGAACCTAAATCAGAAGAGCTTGGGCACCAAAGGGAATGTTAGACCTTTTAACTGGGGATTCTGATTGGGTAGGTCTTAGATGGGGCCCTTGTATACTCTGGCCTTACACACCCTCCTGCCATACCGAATCTGATCAGACGAACCTAAATGCCACAGTGACTCTCTTTATTATAAAGTCTATATTTCAATCTGTAAATTCTTGGTACTACTACACTGGAAGAAGTAGTGAAGTAGCAGGGAGTCACCTGATAAGGACAGCTGCAAACTTTTAGGTCTCAGCTGCCAGGAGCAGCGTGGCCATTGGGGAGTGATTTTCCAAAACGGTGAACAGTTCCTGGTAAAGTTCCGAACAAGGTGCAATCAAGCCTTGATTTACATGTAGTTGCATTCCTCGAAAATCCAGTGTTAATTAAAACTGTGCAAAATATACTTTGTATTTAGATGTAAAATAGTTTGGTTGTAGCCACAGATAATTATAAACGGATTTTTCCAAGCACATGAATGTGTACGGAGACTTTTTAAGGTTGTAGGGGTGCTGGAAAATCCTTTACTGTGCGGGACCGTCCCTAGCATCGCAGAATCTTAGTATCTCAGACCCCAGTGGCTTCTAAACGCCTTCGTGCCTGCCTCTCCATCTCTGCGAACAGAAAAAAACTTCCGTAAGTTTCCAAAATGTCCCCTAGGGGGCAGTAACGCCCCACTGAGAAAGGCTGGACTGTAAAACCACACAAACAGAAGGACAATTCCTGCTGCCTAGAGGTGCCCAGACGGGGATATTATATTTTTCTTTCTCAGAACAATCTTGAAAAACAGGTATTGTTATTTCCATTTCAGAAATTAGGAAAGAGAGGTTTTACGAATTAAGTTACTTGCCCGAGATGACAACACTAGGGTGTATCAAAGTTGAGCTGCAGCCCAAGTCTGACCGTGGAGCTGACTAAGCTCTGTCTCACTTTGGTTGTTACTTGTGGCCTCAAGGAAAGTTATTTGATTCAGTCTTGGCGAAATTAGAATGAAAGTTTTAGCAAAATGAGTTCTCTTACGTTGTAGTGGTCTGTTTTCTGACTTGTTCATATTTATGAAAAGTGTGCAATAAAATTTCATTGCTCTCATTTCAGGTAACTCCATGCATTGGAGACCATGGATAAATATGATGTGATTAAGGCCATTGGGGAAGGTGCCTTTGGGAA